ACCAAGGGTGAAATTGAGGTTATAAACAGCAGTAACTAAATACTGTTGCTGTGATTTCCAACCACGACTGAGAAGGGGAAGTTCCAGAACTTAAAAAGTCAGTGACGAGATATGGACTGTGTATATATATTTCTATGTAGATGTAGATACATGCAGCAGATTACACAACCCATCAAGAAAACCGTGTCCATCAGTGCCTCATTTACCCTCTTCTCCAATGCTGCACTTCAGAAGAAGTGTGAATTTCATGCTGACAAAATACAAAAAGCCACTGGCAAACTATGAGATTGTTCTAAGGCTTTCAGAATGTCAAACACTGCATGGTCCCAACAATATTTATAATTGTGTAGGAAATATAATTTTCATAAAACCTGGTTGTGAATTTAGTCACAAAGCAAGGAAACCCATGTAAGAAACTGAAAATCCATTCTATATTTAGAACCAGTCTAATGGGATAATGTGGCTATGGCTTATTATTCTTCCTATTGATGGAGTTTTGCAGTGTTTCACTGCAAAGACCAAGATTCCTAAATAAGTTTAATCTTGCTGCTTTTGCAAATGAGTAGTCTTAAGGTCAAGGGAAACAATTTCCACTTTCATTATTTTATGCAGGTCTAATGCTGCTTTGAGGAGCCTGACAGAAGATCGTCTGCTTTCTGTGCTTTAAAGGAAGGTTGCCCGTACCATTCTGCTAATCAAAAATGGATTACTCCTTAGTATTTCCTAAACAATATCTCTCTTCATATTCCAATTTGTCTTTACAGTCCTATAGGGGTCACAGACATTCTGTAGCAAGAACACATATCATAAAACAGTACTCTCTGTCTTGCCCTAGCAGCTTATCCCCAAATCCTGTTTGGGAAGAAAGCAAAGAGCTTCATATAATAGCACCATACAGTAATGCTCAAAAGAGGTGCAGAGGATAAAATGAACTCCTCTTACAATTTTCAGGATAGTCTGGCTGTGGTCTTTGTTTCAAACTGATCTCCAGACTTCCACCTGCAGATAACAGAGATGTTAAATGAAATTTATTGTGTTTCCGTTTCAAATTTTCAAAAAAGTGTCCGCCTCCTTTTCTTTCTCTCCAAATCTGCTAGAATACTGTCTGGGAATGTGAAGCTGTGAAAGCACAAATCTGAAATCTGTCAACTGTTCATCAACATGCTCGTGAGAAAAAAATGCATCAGAAAGGTAGCTTCTGGGGAGGAAGTGATGAGGCAGCAGGGAAAGCACACGTTTGTTGCCAGCAGGCAATAAGAAACGGAATAGATAAGAAACGGATAGATCATAGATCGAGGTGCTTCTGCACTGGGGTGCTTTCAAGTGGGAAGCTGGCATGCACACTCGTGCCAAGTAGCCAGTAAGCATGGATTTCCTTACCATGGAGCCACAGTGTTTCATACCCACATCTCTGGGGCCAGGAATCAGACATCTCCATAAGGAGATGTCTGATAAGTCTCCATAAGGAGATGTCTCCATAAGTTTCAGTGTTAAGGATATCCAGTTGAAGAGGAGAAAAATGCTGGTATTGGCACAGCAGTTAAGTCCCCAGCATGAGGACACATACACCAAGATCTCAGTATTTGTTCAGAAGCCATTTCTCTGCTGTAGAAATCACCTTTCTTAAAATAACTTGCCTCTATTAATTAAACAATAAGCATTACAAAGGGTAAAATAATGTCTTATAAAAATATTAATATTTCTGATCATTTTGACTTGATAGAAACCTTTGCTTTTTGCAATTTCTTCTCACTCAGTTAGTATTCAAAGGCTCTATTATGAAATCGTTCAAGGCACTGCTTGTAATACAGCATATTAATGTACTCATTTTCTCTTTCTAGTAGCAGTTTTCAACTCCAATTTCCTTAATCTGACTTCTGCATGATTTATTCTGATGATAAAATACCCTTCTCTTTCATATAGTTTAATTCATTCACAACTTTTTAATTTCATATCTTCTGATAAAATATGTGGGCAAGTTCACCGTGTGAGATCAGTCCTCCTCGGGTTTTCAGGAACCAGTCAGAACAGAGGTTTCCTTACAATTCTTTCTCCTTTGGAAGTTTTAATTTAATCCAGACATTTTGCAAGAAAATATTTAGGAATGATAATTTTTTTCACACATGAAAAAGCTGTCAACGCACCACAGCTTTTAATTGTCATTAACTGCAAGTTTCTTAGCAATTCCAGTGCCAGTTTGTAGTACTTATCCATAACACTTTTAATAAAGCATCTCAAATGAGACAGGCCAGCAAAGTTTTCTCAATGCTGAATAGGACCTCATAAGAAGGCCAAAGTCCAAAGGGCTCATAATCTGCTCATCTCTGCAATATATCAGATTTTGATCTCTGCATCAATCCTGTTGTTTATCTAGATTATCTAGACTAGTTTGTCTTTCGAAAAGATGGACATTTTTGGCACGACAAGGTTACAACTTTAAAAGGCAAACAAACAACAGCCCTTAGTAAATTGCTTTAATGGATGCATTGTTTCTGACCTTATTTCCAGTTTATGTGTATCCAGTTTTGACTTTTAATCTTCAAGTTTTATTTATAAAAAGCTTAAATAACATTCAGACTCTTCATGCCCATAAACTCCCACAACCACCCCTCAGTGGTTACTGATCCATCAGATACCTGCTTTCACACAGAATCTTCCTGCTCGACCCAAGAGTCCTTCCTCCAAGAGCAGTTCTGCTGCAGGGCTGACAGTGCCTGGGCGCCTGTGTAGATCTGCTCTGTAAAGGCACACCACGCTGGCAGAGTGAGCCTCCCTCCACAGAAGATCATTGTGTTGACCCACCTGTCTTAAAGGATGCCCAAGAGAAGAAACGGATGCAAATGTGCTGCCCATCCTTTACATGGTATCTGAGATGGAAGTGCTGCAGTACCCTGAAGAGGGAAGCGAAGGTTCAAAGCCTTCCTCCATCTGAACAAATTAAGACTTGCTGGTGCACCACCCAAAGACATGACCTTTTTGGGCCCAGAGGTGGATGGACACCAGAAGAAGGCTGGTCTTTGTGTGATGGTCATTAAGCAAATTTCTCTTTTTAGAAAAGTCAGATTTGAGTTATAGTCCATAGACACATGAGTTGTTAATGGACTCATCAACCCCTTGTCCTGCTGGTCAGTTTTAAAAGAAACCATCTAAACACAGGCTTGTTTCTATGGCGGTAGATAAGTGGCTGCAACCAGAATATTCTGGACTCAAGGTCCTGTGTTGGTAGAGGTCCATTCCTACCCTCCAGGGGCAGCAGATGTCAAACACCCTCTGGCCATTAGTGTTTTCTACTGTCTTGGTCAAAGCAATGCGCAACCTGGCCTGCATCTCATCTGGGGCTTCTCTCTGTCCCCGTGTAGCACTGAGGAGAGGCAATTGCAATCACCTCTCTTTTTGGGTACGTGGGACAGATATTGAACCTGCTCAACTGGAACTGGCTGTGAGCCTTGTCCTGGTTGATCACTGCACATCTTCTTCATGTGGTTACTGCTTATAGAACAGAGTAGCTAGACAACTTTTGGGCCAACTCAGCACTTTGAGCTTTGGTGGCATATCACTAAAATGCATTTTTCCAAACTTGAACACTTTTTGAGCTTTCTTTCTGGAATCTTCCTTATGTTCTGAAATCTCATTCAAAATACTGAAGTAACAGCTTCTCAAACTATGTGTGCAGGTGTACTAACACCTTCATCCTTCTCTGATTTTCTGCTTCTGTATGTCATGGACTGCCCAAATATGGTATTTGATTAGAAGCTTTAAGTAATCATTTGTCACTTCTTTAGTTTCACTTCACACCAGGTTGCAATACAACTGTTTTGAGATCAATAATACCTCGACTGATTACAATGTCCAGAGAAGGCGCGAGGTCATTATCAGGAAGGTCGATTTTAAATTGGTTTAGAAGCCAGCTCATGCTAGTCTTTGAATTAAACCTCATGTGCCCCAGGAAACTCTCTGAGAATTGGGATGGCCAGTGGCAGGCAAGGGACAGATAAAGCTAAAGAAAGCGCATGAGCCACTTCAGATGATATGTTCCAAGTTCCTCCCCAGGTTTTTTGCCTTTTATTCTCCAATTCAGGTATTACATTGCCACTGGTTTCCACCAGGATTGTGCATGCACCTTGACATGTTCACAGAAGTTCCACAATACAGAGTTTCACAACTGGGACAGGTCCCTACAATTGGGACACCAGGGTGACAAACAGATTCTGGAGAATTTCTCACTGAATAGGTGGAGAGAACATAATTACCACATCGTAGCACTACAAAGCCTCATAAACATAGAATAGACTAGATCCATTTACCACAAAAATCACAGAAAGTAGCTGATCAAAGAATATCTCTTTTATGTAAAATATACATTTTTAAGATATAATTTTAATACATCTTTTATATTTATTGATGTTGGGTTTGAAACATTTTAAATTAAAAAGAAAAAGAAAAAAAATACTCTTGCTGCCAGAATTTTATTTCTCGAAATACTTATAGTCTGAGGTAACAATGAAAGAAGACTGTGTGCTGTGAACAAAGTTGGTGATGTTTGTCTGCAGTCACATTTCACTTATTAAAGTGAAAAGTAAAGTTAGGACTTGGCATGTACACTAGAATTCATACAAATATAGCTTATGGCAAACTGAGAAAGCAAGAACTTATGCAAACCTACTACTCTGATTATATTTGTGACCTTTGCAAATAATACCATTGTTATGACAGAAATCAAGACCAATGTAGTTTACATCACTATCATCATTAAGTGTGTGTCTTTGTATGATCCACAGCACAACTTACTGCAGGAACCAGGAATAATACGCACAGGGGTGTGGGTCTTTGCATGGAGCCTTAGCAATGATGACTTTAATTCAGCTTTCCTTGATATAGATAAAAACTGATATTCCATGCACACACGTTTTATTTACAGCTGACTCATCAACAGTGACTAATCACCCCCTCCTCTGGCAGCAGTAATTATGAGCAGTCTTTAATCTTCTTTAACAAGCTCTACTTCCCATGTAAAGCCTCAGTGACCTCCTCAAGGCGTGAGCTGTTTATCAGGGCCCATTCAGCAGCAGCAGTCTCTTTCCAGTACAGTCCTTGGTATGGCTAAATTCCATTGTCCCTTTTTCAGCAGTCAAAAATCCATGATAAATTCTGTACAACACTGTAGTTAATATAACAGCAGCACCAAATATTATATTAATTCCTTTGCTAAAAGCTGTTTGCAATTATCTCTCTATTGACAATATTTTAGCAAAACTAAATCAATGTACATCTCTAAATATCAGAAATGTATGCTCTGATAAATATATTATTGTACAAGAATTTTGTCATGCAGGTCATGCTGTTGGGCTAGGCTATATACAGAAGAACATGTGACATGGTTAACAATACTTTTCAGTTCTTGTCCTAACAAAAAGTAAAACATGACAGTCAGGGATTATTCAACAATCTCAAGGATCTCGTGATTTGGGTAGCTACAGACTCCCCTATGTAATTCTAAAATTCTGTATTTTAGGGTAATTGTTCCTCACCAGCCCAGAACATCAAATGTGCTATTGCATTTGTCCCGTTGCATAAACACAGATTAATACTGAATGAAAAAGCCACTAGAGGAGATACAGTTTCAGAACTGTAAGGAATGCTGGTTGCTAGGAGGAGGACTGATGCAATAGGCAACTGCTCAGCATTGTAAAGTTGTTACTAAATCTCACTCTAAAAATGGTGAGAGTGCTCACTCTGAGTTAGTTAGTCTACATAATATGAACTTGCACTTGAAAAATATATTTATGTATCTATACACATATGAAAAAAAAAAAAAAGGAGAGAGAAAAGGAGAAAAATGTCCTTAGTTAGCCTTAAAAGAAGGGGGCATTTTAAGAGTATCTCTGTGCTTTATGGAGACAGATGGAGAATACATTAGACAGGTCGCAGAACAGACAGACAAACAACACACAGGACAAAGCACCTCAAAAAAACACTGAAGAATTTTTCAAAGCGCATGAGCCAGAGGTATTAGTCTGGTCAAAAAAAAAAACCACTTGAGAACTATGACTCTCTTACAGTGGTACAAAAAAAAGCCCCCAGTAATCTTCTCAATTTTACTTGGTACTCAGTCTCTGAAAATGTTGAAGAACCCTGGAGTAGAGAAATGACTACAGTACCAAGCAGCACTTGCTAGCTTAACATTGCAAGTCTGGATGGCGTTTACCTTTCTTGCATGTTTTGTGCCTTCCCCAAGCCATTAAGAAAGAGATCTGGCTTCTGCTTGCGTGTAACCAGTAATGACAACCTCTTTGCAGTTATCTGTGTGCAAACAACCGGAGACATTCAGAACTCTGATACAGTAATCCAGTACCAAGTAAGTTAATCACAAAATAAAACAATTTATAAACAAGTAGATCATTAAAAACTAAAGGAAAAGGTTAAACAAAGAAAAACAATCCCACATGCAGACCAGTTTATCAGTGCTTTCATTTCAGCAGGATGTTACAATGCGAGAACACACATCCAGAGCCCTCTGTGGTCTCCGCGATCGGCAACACGGCTTGTCAGGTGATGGGGACAGGATGGTCCATGCAAATGAGCAGACCCAAGTCACACTGTGTGCAACCAAGACACAATTCCAGACATCTTCAGAATGGATTAGAGTCACAAGAAATGGAGGTTCAATGGAGTGACGGATAATTAGTTGGAAGCACATTATTTTAAGTAAATCTCCCTGAAAAACTGCTTATTTATTGTATATACTGTCCAATGGCATCCACTAACTGCCCTTTTATTGCCACAGGGAAGTAGGACAATATAGTAGATCAAAGAAGGAGCGCTACCTTAGATAATCTTCAAAAGCCAAGATAAAATTCTTCAGCTATCCAGGTGGCACTTCTATAACTACTGACAGTTATATCATGCAGGAGTTATATTTCTGGAGCCTATGGATTAAGCTACATTTATGTCCAATATTTGGTAAACAGTATTTGAATTAATATTATGTAGCCAGTTGATGCCATCTGGTTTACAAGATAGAAGGGATGGGAGACCGAGAACGCCTTAGAGGACAAGGTGAGCTGTAGGGTGATGTTACTGGAGACAGTCGCAGAGCATTGCCTGTCAAGCCAGCTATGTTGTTTAAGCTTCGAGATTTTTCGTAGCCTTGTATGAGAAAATGCACAGACATCAGTTGAATTCAGCCAAAAAAATAGACAAAGACAAACAATACAATGTCATGTAATCCAAGGAGCTATCTGGGACTCGGGGAATTTGCCTGCGAAAGAACTCAATACTTAGATGCAGTACTGTCAAAAGATGTTAATGAATAAAACAATTTATGAAAAACTGCAGCTATTCTTTCCCAGGAAATTAAACACAGAACCACGTCAGAGGTCTGGCCTGTTCTTCCACTCTGTGCCACTCTATTGGCTTCAACAGAGCTGTGCAGAGTGCAAAATTAAAGATCACAACAGAGTTTTCGGGTGAATTATGTGACTAAGCATAATCCCATTAAGATAGACCATAAACGCTGTTAGAATGATATACCCTCTGTTAAAATCAATTCCTAATAAAAAATATTTTTCTTTAAAAAATGAAATTAAAAAAAAAATACAAAATTGCATCAATGTTTGTAAGTAATTTCTGCAGAGTGTTGAATGATACTATGGAAAGAAGCTTCATCTGCACGAATGTTAAACTTACAATTTTGTGTCCAATATTAAATTGTAATATGATAGCAGAGTTTGACATATTTTCAAATTCTTCCTGACTGGTCAATTTAAATCACTAAATTTATATTGCTTGTCCAGCTGACTGAGATGAAATAAATGATATTAATCTGCATAAGCAAACAGTAAAGAATTAGTAATTAAATGAGGAAATCACATAATGCGTCACAATTTGGAGAGAACACCACACTTGCAGACATTTCTGTTCACACCATGAGCTCCAGCTACCTACTTTTAGCTGCACACCCATTATTTTCACCTTTGAGAGGCTACGTTTGAAAAGCAGTGCTATGCTCTCTCTCTTCCTCACAGTCTTCGCAATTAAGTACTTGCAAGAGCGTAATCCTGCTTATGAAGGATAGGATCAGCAGATTGGTCTAGAGAGAGATGTCAGCTAGGAGAATGACATGAAGATCAAAATGGATGGGATGCTGCTCCTAAAGGGCACAGATACATGCTTCACTGCAAGCAGAAGTCCATCGATTTCAGTTGGTGCTACCTAACTTCCTCAAAAAGTATAATGCCATGTGCCATGTGAAGACGCTTAAGTAAACTGCCTGCTGTGAAACACTGAGACTTTTTCTCAGAGAATGTATAGAGTGCCAGTGACAATACATCTATCTAAACATCATGGCAGGTCAATGGTGTTTTCTAATTGAAACAGGTTCTGGTTCCAGATGACAGACCACAAGCAATGATATTCTTCAGGAAAAAAATCACACTTAAGGTTCTCCCCAGAACAAGATATTTTTTGGGAACAACTGTGATTCTGTTTGTGTTTGTACAGGTCCTGAGCAATTGAGAGATGAAAACATACATAATAATAACAACTATCACATTTCTTAGCTACTGAAAATTGCATGCTGTAAACCTGTACTTAAAACACATGTACTGCCTTCATGTCTGCTTAGCCATTGTGCAGTGTTCTCTCCAGATTGCAAGGGCAGGCTGAACTGCAATGCTTCACAGACTGCTGATACATTTAAAATCCAGTTTCCTGCTTTGATTTTCTGTCAGTATTTACCCAGATTTGAGAGAATTGTGTTTGAAAGGGGAACAGAAGGGATGCACACTGCTTATGTATATATTTAACCTCCTGTGTAAACTTAATGCGTTACAAAAAAAAAAATTAAAAAAAAAAAAAAATCAAAAGAATTAGTTAACTTTTTCACACAGAAACTGGGAAACCTTTTTATTACTATTTTCATATTTTTTCTGCTATTTTTCTAATGATAAAAGCAAAGAACTGACAGAGGAAGATAGTAAAGATGACAAAAAAAAAAAAAAACAAACAAGGACTTCTAAAAAATGAAAACCAGAAATACAAGATGAATAGAAATAGAGGCATAAACCAAAAATCAGTGATGTCCAGACAGTTTGGTGCGGTTTGGATTAGCACTGAATCAGTATAATCTGAGAAATGGAGATAAGGTGCCAAGGCAGAAAAGCTCAGAACAAATGATCACTGAACAAAACCAAGAACCAATCAAGGAAGCAACCAAACAGAAAGGATATACCAAAAGAAAGAAAGGGAAAAAAATTAAATGAAACACTAATAGACTTGATGTGTAAGTTAAATTCAAGAATTTAAGAATTCAAATATGCTACTTGAAAATATTTTCTGCTCATCAGCAAGCTTTCCTACTCTGTCTATAATAAATTTCAAAGCCAATGGCTAAAACATTTCAACCTCGTTTAAGGTTATCATTAGAGTCAGTCAAAAAGCACATTTCTCACTGAGAAAATGTCAGTTCTGAACTCAAGCCCTGCTTTTCCAGTGCAAACTATAAAACAATGACTTTTCTCTTCAATCTAGATTTTGAAATGAAAATGTTCATGTATTCCCCATACAAAATACGCTGTTTTGTTGTCACATGAATATGTCATTACTAGTTAATTGGTAACTTCTCCCGTTATTTTTTTATCTGCTCTAATTAACAGTTACCAGCAAGTGAACAACACTCAAATGTTTTTTCTGGCATTTCTAAAAGAAGTCAAGAATCTTGTCTTGCAGGATGCCATGGCAAATCTAATCTGCGTTATTCAGGTGCTTCTGACCTCCTCAAGAGACTGGAGCCTTACTCTAAAAGACACTGCAAATAATCCTAGTTGCCAAGCGACCGTGCAAGACATACACGCTGTAGACAAGAGTCCTAAATCCATGTGCAAAAAAACCAAAAAATCTCCATTTAATCTAAACATTGTATACAGGAATATGTAAAATGTAGGTGCACAGAGATAACCTTTACAAACACCATACACATGAATTTCTGGTTACACATCTGCCTTCACAAGCTAAACCTATTGAGCTTTTGAAACATAAAGAGCATTTGCAGAATAACCAAGCGAATTGCTTTAGGATCTGCTGCTGGCTTGGACAGCTACATTTACAGTAGACACAGCTAGTAAAAAAACCAAAAACAAACAAAATAAAAAACCAAGCAAACGAACAAACAAAAAAACCTGTCCAAAAAAACAACAGAACAGAAAAATTGTAACCTCTGAAGACTGCTGCAGCTTAACAGGGAAAAAAAAAGTAATTCTCTTTTAAGGAAAAGCAAGACTACCACTGGCACTGCTGATTTTGGGGTTATGCCCTAGGTTATGCCCATCTGTGGCCTGATTGGGTGGCCATATCATGGCTGATTCATAATGCCAAAAGGTTTTTACGGCTGCACCAAACCAGGGAGCAATTAGGCTTGAAGAGGCTGAAGTACTTGTAAGACAGCAGCACCTTGCAAGATCAAGAGCAGTTTACTGTATTTGAATTCTGGTTGGGGGAGGCAGTCACCATTTAGCATTAGGTAGCACATTACAAAGAGGGAATGTTTTGTGGCACTATAAATCCAAATTTTTCTTTGAAATAAATCTAAATAGCATCTCATCGATACGCTTTGTTGTGTTCAGAAATAAAAATGTTATTGACTTCTGGTATTTCGATTTTTTAAATATAATTTATTCAGCTGTAATTTTTACTAAGTTATTAAGTGCGGATCAAAGTTACTAAATAATTAATTTGTCTTTCAAAGTGATAAATGGTATCAAGTGACGAGTAGTGGAATGAGTAAAGTCTGAATTGCAGGCTTGTCCATAAAAAGTAACAGACAAATGAAGGCACAAGTGATATGAAGGTCCAACATCAAGCACTTCTCGTGAAGACTAAAGGAAATGAGTTTTTAAAAGAAAAGCAGGAAAAGAATGACTAGGAATAAAGAAAAGAAGATACACTGTGGTACAGTCTTTCCTCTAAGAGCATTGTGCACATCATTTTACTCTAAGTTTGCTTTTCACACGCACACTGCTGAGTGATCTTTATAATCTAATGAAAGAAGTCCATACCTTTCCTGATCCCTCCATCAGTAGCACACGTGTAATCCCCTGTTGTCAGTAGGAAACATGTTCCCCCTCTTCTGTTTTTGTCTCTGGTACTAGAGCGTCTGATGGGAGGGAGCCTTTCACCAGGTGAGAGTGGCTGCTCACTTCCTGCACTGTCTTCACCTGATAACACTGGTTAAAGCACCATGCCCATTTACAGACAAGAATGAATGAGGAAATGAGACATCACAAAGAGCTTATGTAGAACGCCAGATATTCCCATCACTCAAAAAGTAGTTACAAGGTAAATCATTAGAAAACAACATTGCAGTTCATCAGTAATCAGCATAAAATGGCAAAAAGTTGTTTTTTGTTTTTTGTTTTTTTAATTCAAGAGTAAATTATCTTTTGATTTTCCTGTTTTTCTTTTGAGTCTCACATAAGCTTCCACTAGACTATGAAATAAGAAAGAAGCAAAACAAGGCTCAGTTAGTTGCCTGCTAAAGACTGTAAGTAGTCAGTTTCAGAGATTTAAAGATACATTTACTATTTTTTATATCCTTTTTATTAAGTAAGAGGTCATGCTAGTCATTTTTACTTAGAATATGTTACTTAGCACTTTGTAAAGATAACCCCTCCCCCAGAAGGGTTCAATTATCAATATTTGACACTAAAGCCTGTTTCACTATGCACACTTAGTTTTCATTTCTGTACTTGCTGCAATGTTTGCACAGCTTGTCACTTTAAGTACCCAACATTAAATGTTGTCTGTGTGGTTTATTTTGTCAAACACTGAAACTCTTACCTCTCTTGATTTGGGTCTCCCAAAGGACTATTAAAAAAAAAAATCTACTGATTCAGATTCAGGCCACGCTTCAAGAAATAAATCTCTGCTAGTACAGCACATAACAGGTAATGGCATGATTTTGGCTTCTGCTTTACCTTTGCATTTAAATCTGAGCATGTGCTTTTGTGAACTTTTAGTGCCACTGGCTATATTCAGCCTAAAATTTTTGCACGAGATTACTAATTACTTTAACAGCATTTTCTACCAGAAATAAAGTCAGAACATATAGTGTGTGTGCTGGCACTGCCAAAAAGTTTACATTTTAAAATTACTTCTTTTTTGCATATCTGTTTTTCACCTAACTTCAGTGATTACACCACCTTGTCAATAAAGCTGCAGATACAGAAAAGTGTCTCTTTGCTCTGATCACATTGAGCCTCCTCCATTCTGGAATACCTTTGGTAGGACCTGATGGCATGAAAAAGCTGTTATCATTTTTACTTTAAAGATATCGTCTGAAAGTCAGTCAAAGCACTGTAAAACTAACTATATTTCACCCTCAATGTAAGTCCTCTCAAAGGTTCCATCCTCCTAAATACATTTAGGATGTTCAAAAAGCTGTGTTAACTTTGTGAACACTCGCTCAGAGACTGAAACTGAGTTTCTTTGAAGATAAATGCTATTCAGCAACAAAGCAACAGAACCAAGAAAGATGTTCAGAAACTGGTTTTCCAGACTCTTCTTTAGAAAAAATAAACTTCGGTTACTGAATGACACTACTCATGTACTGCTTTGTTTTGTTATTCTCATATTAGCAATCATCAGCTTTCCAACAGGCACCTAATGACTGGCGTGTAAGCTTTGTAATCAGATTGCACTTTGCTTAAGAAAGAATGCATTCAAGAAACAAATGGACAAAAAAAAAAAAATAAAAAAAAAAATAAAAAAAAAATCCCTGCTATTAAAAATAATGTTTTAATCATATTGAGAAAAATTCCTCTTTAATTGGAAGAAATATGGAATATGAGGCATGGGCTCAGAGGGGCAGAGGCTGTCATTTGATATATGTTTTCACAGCAATTAGCACAAAGTATCCTCTTCCATGAAGCTCTGAGAAGAAGGTATTAAAAATTATGAAAACCAACACTTATGGCATGGATGTTGTCAGGGGCTGCCATTTTCATTTTTCTTGAAAAAATCAACATCAGTTTTACTGTTATCATCCAATTGACAGTAAATGTCGTGCAATGTCTCATCTAACACAGATGAAAGATTTTTTTTCTAGCCAGGGAAGCAGAATGCCAAATAGAAAGAAAACTAGAGAGAGAATTTCTCTTTATCTCCTTTGAGTGCTGGGCTTTTGATGTAAAGCACCTGCTCCTTTTAAATGACTGCTTCTTTGTAGGATCTTGCTTAACAGGCCACGATGTGGCACAGGCAAAGCTGACACAAGAGACAAACACTGAGGCAAAACACCATGGAGTCCAACAGAGTGGGACACAGTGGCTGCTCAAATCGTCACAGTCATGCAGAAAAACAAGAAACATCCATATAACACAACAACAAACAACAGGCAAAAGAAAAGGTTGATATCATCAGCAGGAAAGCATTCTCAACGGAGCAAGCAAAACTGTATAGACCAGCTACATAGAGGTTTGAGAATGTCACTATAACTATTTTGTCCTCTATGAGACTGACACACGCAAACACTGGAGGGGAGAAGGGTGGGAGGTACATCTTCTCCTGGCAGAAAGACTGGCTGCTTTCTGACCCCTACCAAACATACTGGTCTATAAAGCGTTCTCAGAGAACATGCATCTCCAGTGGGTCCTACCTGATGATCTGTTGTGCTCCATCAACTGGTTGTCCTTGCCCAGGCAGATGTCCCCTTGTGTGCTATTGCAGGCCATGTTCAAGTCTGTCTTGCAGAAGGTGGGAGAGCTAGCTTGTGGAGCCGGAGGGATGTGCTTCTTCCTCTTCCTCGGCAGTTTCTGCTTTGCCATGGCCAGGGAGTAATACATCCCAAAGTTGTTAACAATCACAGGCACAGGCATGGCTATGGTGAGCACCCCTGCTAACGCACACAGGGCTCCCACCAGCATACCTGACCAAGTCCGTGGATACATGTCCCCGTATCCCAGGGTGGTCATGGTGACTACAGCCCACCAGAAGCCAATAGGGATATTTTTGAACTGCGTGTGCTCGCTTGCTGATGGATCATTGGGCTGAGCTCCCACACGCTCTGCGTAGTAGATCATGGTGGCAAATATCAAAACACCGAGTGCCAAGAATATTATCAGCAGCAAAAATTCATTGGTGCTGGCTCTCAGAGTGTGGCCCAGCACCCTGAGGCCCACAAAGTGCCGTGTGAGCTTGAAGATTCGCAGGATCCTCACAAACCTTACTACCCTGAGGAAACCAAGTACATCCTTAGCAGCTTTGGAGGAGAGCCCGCTCAGGCCCACTTCTAAGTAAAAGGGCAGGATGGCCACAAAGTCAATGATGTTCAAGAGGTTTTTGATAAATTCAAGTTTGTTGGGGGAAAAAATAACACGCACTAAAAATTCAAATGTAAACCAAACTACGCAGACTCCTTCCACATACGTTAGGGCTGGATCTGTCTCAATTTCATACTGTGGTACAGTTTCTGTTCCATTGACAACATGCTCAGTTTTATTTATAATAGTATTGAAAGCCTCATGCGTTTCCAGGCAAAAGGTTGTGATTGAAACTAGGATGAAGAATAAGGAGGCAAAGGCGATGAACTGAAATAAGAAAAGGGAAAAAGAGATATCAAAACCACACAGCTTTTCACAACAATAACATATTGTATCACAATAATAACATATCAGTGCTCATTATCAATATTTTACTGGTTTATACCCAAGTGATTCACAACTTCAAGAATACAAAACTTTGCATCCAGGACAGAGGAGTGGCAGACAGCTCTCACACATACCTTAGGAGTCTGGCTGCAAGAGAAGTCTTTGTGATGGACACTATAATAACATGGTGCAACTCTTCCAAAAAGGGGTTAAAAAAAAATCTCAAATCCATGCTAAGCCTATCAAGGCCTCTTATCAACAGCCCACATACATGCCAGCTGCAGCAATATTTAAGGCTGTTGGAGGAGAGGGGAAAACTGGGCTGACTCTACCGGTTTTGAGATTATGGTTCAGGAGTTCCTATCTAGTCTGACAAACATCAGAATGTCTTAGGAACACGTTCCAAAGGTAGGCTTCTTTTAGATTTCAACAGTCCACAACCACAGGGTAGTCACAGAATTGTAGATTCATGGAATCATAGAATACCGCGAGTTGGAAGGGACCCACAAGGACCACTGAGTCCAACTCCTGGCTCCACACAGCACCACCCAAAATCAAACCCTGTATCTGAAAGCACTGTCCAAGTGCACCCTGAACTCCAGCACTTGGGCCCGTGCCCACTGCCTTGTGCAGCCCGTTCCATGCCCACCGCCCTCTGGTGCAGACCTGTCCCCAGCCCAGCTGCCCTCTCCTGACAGCTCCATGCCATTCCCTGTTGCTGTCACACAGAGCAAAGCTCAGCGCTGCCCTCCGCTCCCTGTGAGGAGCTGCAGCCGCCATCAGGCCTCCCCTCAGCTCCTCTGCTCTGTGCTGGGCACAGCCAGGGACTTCAGCTGCTCCTCATACGTCTTGCCCTCCAGACCCTTCACTCTCCTTTGGACATTCAAATAATTTTATGTCCTTCCGATATTGTGGCACACAAACTGCTCGAGATGAGGCCACACAGCTCAGAGGCCCTCACTCAGCTGGCAGCGCCGAGCCTGGTGCACCCTAGAGTACAGTTGTCCGTTTGGCTGCAGAGTACACTGCTGGATCATGTTCAACTTGATATCAACCAGAACCTCCACATCCTTTTCTGCAGGGCTGCTCTCCAGCCTCTCATCCCCAAGTCTGTACTTAGATACAGAGTTGCCTAATCCCAGTGCAGCACTTAGGCTTATTAAATTTCATGAGGTTGACAACTCAGCCCTCTAATTTGTTATCATTTCTGAAATCAAATTTAGAAGAATACATATTTTATCCATTTTCAGGAATACACACAACCATTTAATGGGAAACATCTGGTTACATTCAGGAACGTTCGAAGTCTCAGAATTTGGGCACAGGCTTGAGCATTACAGTTTATTGTATCTATACAGAAAGTCTGAAAAATCCAAAATGCAAAATGCAGCGTGTTAAACATCCTTCCAGCCCTCTACTGATATGTATTTATTATCTTGCTTCTCTGAGGAAGGAAAGACACCTATTAATTTATGTAAGCTATTAAGACTAATGACCTAGTTAAGTACTTGGGGATCACCCAGCAGTAAAATGATCCTTGTAATGTAGACAAGCAAGTAGATCAGAAGAGCTGGCTGACACTTGTGTCGACACATCAGATTCTCATACTAAGATCTCGAGCAGCAGCCCTGAACTGTGTCTTGTTCCATTCATTCAAAAGGCACTTAGCAGTATTTAATGGGGAGTGCAGCAAACACAACACTTTCAGACAAAAGCAGAGTCTCTCTCACTATCATGGCAGTGCCTTATCAGTGCTTGATCTAACTCCTGTTATCAAAATTGCAAATCCAGAATAAGTTGAACAAATAAGGAAGCAGAAATTCAGTTCTGGTAGTGGCACATAAACATAAAATGCAGTTATATAACGCAAATTGTTAAGGACTTAAAAAATGCATGGCTGATGTTCAACTCTGTTATCACAGTCATGTCATCCAGTCATTGAAGCAAATGGAACTTCCAGCACAGGATCTCACAGAAAAACAGCTGAAAGGTGAGATAAACTTAGTTACACCTGGTAAAATGCACTGAATAGAAATGTGTTTCCTGGGCAGCTGCTCCATTGCTACAAAGGCTATCTTCTTTCTAATGTCAGCTCTTTACCACCATGTTACTGCTCCACAAGTAGGTATGGTACTTGAATAAGCAGTGTATTTAAATGCTTCTTCTCTGAATCACTGTTTACAACACGCTGCGAACATGTGTGTTATTCTGTATTTTCCAATTGACATGTTTTATGTCCAGCATTATTACTTGGGGGAAGAAACACTATACTGAAGACCTGAATATTTTCAAAAGTGGTAAGGACCCAAAGAGACAAAATGATGCCTAAACAGGTTTAAAAACACATCCCACCCTCTGAGCTTCCTTACAAATCTAGCATCCTGAAAGTGTACCATCATGTGATATCAGGAAAGCAACACAACAAAATGATATGTTACCACACATTACAATTCAATCTCAAATCCTATTTGAAAAATATATATATATATAAAATAGTGGAGACAGAAATGCAGCCATAAGCAAATATGTCTCCATTCTGTCTCTTTAATCCTGAATGCAATACTGTGGTAAAACTGATTTTGTGTACTTCAGGTATCAATCACTGAATGTAGTATTAGCCCACAGATTTACCAGTGTGCACTGAACGAATTCCTTCGGGCTGGTCTAATATTGAGTGGCTCCATTTTCCTAACACAGACTGTTAGTTAGACAACAGAATGCTGTCTCTACAGCTGCTAGACAGAACTGCTTTGATTCTAGAAGACAAGTTTAATTTGCAATGCAGGTCTGGTTAAGCGTATTATATTCAGAGTGACAAGATATATCTATCCAAAACTCACATACTTAATACATCTATAACAGAGACTAGCAGCTTGGTTATGGCTTACCTTCCTCAATCAATGAAACAAAGTGATTATACCGAGCCTCTCAATTACAAACACTCTAAATCTGTTCTCTCTCAAAAAGGACCGACTCAGGGACTGAAATGACCACTTATCATCCAGTCTGAGCTTCTAGGCACATGCTAGGCAAGCAATCTTATACTGTCTGGCCAGTTTTTACCAGTGACGTTTTTCTGCTCAAACTACAAAATTTCTACACGTTCATAGCGCATTTCTTCCTCACCTTATACCAAGGCACCAGCACACTAGCTACACACACCAACTCACATCTCCACACCCATACAGTTTCTGTGAAACAGCTAGAGTCAGCAAATACAACCAGATTTATATAGCCTAAATGAATTAATCTCAGCAGATCTCTGCAAAGCCTCTCCTTAACAGCGACAGAAAATTTATCAGACTCTAAGCCAGTGGTTAAGAATGACCCTTGGGATGCTACTTCAGGATCCTCCAGCATCTTTCTGCACAGCAACAGGATACAAAGCAAACAAATGTGTGGAATTTGAGCATCACTTAAGTTATGTCAGTGCTGTAGTTTGTAATTTGAGTGGGGAGTTTTAATAGATAAAATACTGGGCAGCCTCTTTCAGCGGCAACACTTTGGTGACTGCAGGCAGCTATGAATGCTTTTCGTATGGAAAGAACAGAAAATTACATTCAGGCTAACCAAATTCAAATTTACCAAGAACTTGGTTATAATAAGGATTAAATGTGCATTCAGCAAGACCCTACATCTAGAAGCAGGAAAATAATTAACATCTATCTTGGGGCTGCATTTCAGAAAAAGACTTCACTATGGTTCAGATCTTTCTAAAAATGCCAAACAGCAAGGGATCAGCTACAGGTAGAACTCCCTGACAAGCTGTTTGTTACTGTTTCGCACAACACTGACACTGTGAGAGGCCACAGTACACCTGGCACTTGGTAAAGCAGCTGGGCATTTTTAACTGTAAAATTATATTCAATGGTGCTTTGTTAGCCCTGAACGAAGAAGACTTTCAACAATTTCCAAAATCAGTCAAGTAATCCATTCTCTTATCCTAGAGGAGATCATAAGTGATGGTGAAGAAAGGCAAGAAAACACTATTATATGTGTTACATAATGTAAGATTCTTTGATAATGCCACAATTTCATAACAATGTAAATAAGATGTATACATCTGGCTATGCACATAAGAGCATATACACCTCATTTTGAGCAAGTACACTCATTCTTTTGCTGCACTTTATATCTCTTGCTGTGTTTTGTTTTAAACTGCATACTTGGACATTTTGGATAGATCTTGCAAAGCACCTGAAGCAATGAAACCCCACTCATGAGAAGATGCTTTAACACAATTATACTGTATTATAGTCAGAGGCTTCAGAGAAAATGACAATGGTGTCCAATGTGAGAAGGAAAATATTCCCAGTGAAAGAAGAGACCTTGGATATTTACTTTAGTATTTTCTTCTTATAGTATTAAATAATATTAAGCAATACGTTGAAAAGAATCTGTCATGTTTTTCACAAACAGTTGTAATGATAGAAACAAAAAGTCAAACACTATTTTCACTTACTGTTAACCTTCTGCTTCTTCTTAATTCATTCCACCTTCTCTCATTTTGAATGAATTGAGACTTTAAAAACACATCCATTTTTGTTTATGTGAGTAAGGACTGCATACCAGACATTACTGGTACAGATTCAAACTCCCATCTTCTCTGGTGAACGTGACCAAACAGGTTCTGTTCTTCAGTGACACTCACTATAAATGGGATATCACACTCAACTTTTGTTTCACAGAATTGTATGGGTTGGAAGGGACCTCCAGAGATCATCGTGTCCAACCCCCCTGCCAAAGCGGGTTCCCTACAGCAGGTCGCACAGGTAGGCATCCAGGCAGGTCTTGAACATCTCCAGAGAAGGAGACTCCACCACCTCCCTGGGCAGCCTGTTCCAGTGCTCCGTCACCTCACTGTAAAGAAGTTCTTGCGCACATTTGTGCTGAACTTCCTATGCTGCAGTTTCCGGCCGTTTCCCCTTGTCCTGTCTCCA